CGAGATCGTGACCTGGCTGAAGTCGGACGCTTAACCGACTGCGCCACCCAGGCGCCCCCTCCAATAGGATATCTAACAATCCCTTGGGCTTTTGGGGGGCGTCCTTATACTCATGTGCTGGTCAAAAAGCCGGGACAAGTCTCTCCACATAGAGGTGACTGGCCAGCTTGGGATTTCCCCCAAGGACAAGAAAGAGGCTTTCCCTGGGGAAGGGCCCCTTTACCCATGCTTGTTTCGTTTTTCCATATCCTGGCTGGCTGGCCAACTGTTAGAAGATGGAGGAGAGGCAGCAGAGTAACCTCCAAACTGAGAAGGCACTTGGAGACCAAAACACAAAGCAGGACCCCGCATACAGTTTACACAGAGTTCTATTCAGAGTAACTTACTGAAGGGGGAATCTGGCGGATGATGATCCTGACAGCTGCACAGACGTTCTCCACCAACTCCAAACCTGCGTCTGCAGATTTTGTACAGTGAGGGGATCTGCGGAGGGTATGTGGCAAAGTCAAAGGGTCCACTTACTTGGTAGCTAACATTTAACAGATCTCGCGATACCACTGGTGCACAGGAGTGGGGGGGGGGGAGGGACCTATATTATCTCTACCAGTTATCTAAACAACTTTAGGGAAGAGCAGAATAAACCTCCCTGCGTTTCTGTTGGGGTCTCCATTAATGTCCAATGGTCCTGGAACATGTAGCCCAGGGAAGGTCATCTCACGAACATGGAAGAGATGAAGGGCCAAGTGTGGAGTCGGTATTGTGGGCACGTCTACAAAATGCTTTTCAGATGTATGATAGCCTCTGATCCTTGTCAACTCCAGCGAAGCAGAATGCTAGAAGTTACCCGTTACATGACTTTGGAACCTAACTTTATCTATAATCAAGGTTTATGAGAAAGTCACAATCCCTGTATAATACAGCAAGTGGCAGAGCGGGACCCGAACCAAGATCCTGTACTCTTCCTCACGATACAACAACACAACAACATCTACTACTGTAATTGCCAGATTTCGGTGAGAAATCAGGGAGATCGCATCTTCAAAGCATTAGCCAGGTTTCTGGCACTTAGTAAGTGTTGAAAGAATTAGCTCTTACCATCATTATTTTGTTTTTAGGGTAGTCATCTAAATCTCTATTCTGATAATGTCTTGCAGTATGAATTTGGAAAACCTAATTTTTTTCTGAACAAAAATACCCAATCGCGCTATTAGAAAGAAGTTATTTCTGTGGATTAATAATCGGGAATCCCTTGCAAGGTGACTGTAAGCTCAGTCCATAGCATTGTTATAAATTAGTGTGCATGGAGCAGGAGTAGCACAGGAGGAGTTCTCTCCTGGACATGGGGATAATGTGACATGTGTTTCACTCAATAGGAGTAGGGGACCATGTCCCCAAACCACATGTCGTGTGATATTCATGGTCCCTGTGGTAGTTGTAATGAAAGAACTTTTTGCAAAACGAATTAATATAAATAAAACCCACAATGAGATGTTACATCATACCTGTCACAATGGCTAAAATTAACGACACAAGAAACAACAGGTGTTGGTGAGGATACGGAGAAAGGGGAACCCTCTTGCACCGTTGGTGGGAATGCAAACTGGTGCAGCCACTCTGGAGAAAAGTGTGGAGGTTCCTCAAGAAATTAAGAATAGAAACTACCCTATAATCTAGCAATGGCACTATTAGGTATTTACCCAAATGATACAAAAATACAGATTCTAAGAGGCACACGCACCCCAGTGTTTATAAGAGCATTATCGACAGTAACCAAACTATGAAACTGTGGAAAGAGCCCAAATGTCCACTGACTGATGAATGGATAAAGAAAATGTGATACACACACACACACACACACACACACACACACACACACTGGAATATTACTTGGCCACCAAAAAGAATGACATCTTGCCATTTGCAATGACGTGGATGGAGCTAGAATGTATTAGGCTAAGTGAAACAAGTCAATCAGAGAAAGAAAAATATCATATGGTTTCACGTATATGTGGAATTTAAGAAACAAAACAGATGAACATATGGGAAGCGGGGGGAGTGAAGAGAGGGAAACAAACCACAAAAGCCTCTTAATGATAAAAAACAAACAGGGTTGATGGAGGGAGGTGGGTGGGGGGATGGGCTAGATGGGTGATGGGCACTAAGGAGGGCACTTGTGATGAACACTGGGTGTTGTGTGTAAGTGATGCATCACTGAATTCTACTCCTGAAACCAATACTGCACTGTATGGTGGCTAAAATTGAAATTAAAAAATTTTTAAAAATAGATTAATAAAAATTCTTTAAGGATTTGGGATGCACAAGATTGTGGGGATCGACAGCAAAGACCGTGACATGCTTTTTAACCCCTATTTTGAAATCTAAGTAAAGAGGCTCTTTTTTTTACGAATAAAATAATAATTTGAGATAGCATAGAAGTTTATTCATCCACAGAAACTTATTAGAGATTGTGACAGGCCAGAGAATTCAAGAGGCCCTGTAGATGGCCATGTACAGGTCTGACCCTTACGGCATGCTGCTTGGGTCTAAAGCTTGCTTCTTTTGCAGAACAACTGCATGGTTTTGCCTCACATCTTTTTACCTTAGTGCATTCCTTTAAAAAAAAAAATGCTAATAAAAGTATCACTTAGTTCACAAGAAAGTTGTGAGGATAAAAATACGTTAACTCACATATAAAAACTCAATACGTGGAATCTATCATTCTTCGAAATAGATCTCTAGCTTGGTTCCAGACCTATCTATTTGTTTATTTTTTAATTAGCAACTGGACATCCTGTCTCCATGTGACACATCCCAAACTGGTATTTTTCTTCTTACCTGCTTTACTGCATGAATCCACTCTCTCAGGGAATAGTACAAGTGTGTGTATAAGACATATACCTATATCATATTGAAAGGGCGGGCCTACGCCAGCCGACTCCATCTTGTTCTGTGTCCTTCACCTTGACCACACCTCCTCCCCTTGAGTAACCCCCCCTCACCTGCCTAACAGGACTCGACCCTTCCCCAGGACCCTTCCCCAGCCAATTGGCTGAGGCCATAGCCATTACCTCACCAACTGCCCCCAGGCCCCAATAAAACCTTTGTCCTTTTGAAACTCGCTCTCTTTC